AAAACATAGTGTCAATTATAGATAAGTAATAAGCAACACTGAATATCTACAATATTCCATAATATTAATCAATTATATGTATATTATTCTCAATTAACATGCCTGAGCCATAAAATATGCGGGCAATCATATACTCGAAGTACATCTTGTGACTACCATGGTGGGGTCTACGCGTAATCCTCGAAACACTAGCTAATATTTATAATATTTATTGTTTAACCCAATTCCAGTGTTATAATTAACAGTTATTAACAGTGAAAAACATTGTGTTCATGATTCGGAACATCATGTTGAAAAATTAAACACACTTTTCACTAAAACAAAATGGCAGCAATTCAAGATCAATATAACTAAAATTTGATGCTTGTCTTTATTAAATTGAATACGTTGGTGTATTCACCAAAACAAAACGATTATATTCCCTGTAGTGTTTATATAAAGGGCAATTCCAGAAAGCGAGGGTGAGTTTGGAAACATTGAAATTGGCCAAAAGCTTGCTACGATCGAATAATAATATTAATATAATTAAATATATCATATATAATCTTTATGTTGTCGTATTATAGTATGACAATTAACGAAAAGTCTGGTTATTTTAATTTGTTTGAGGGATTCTACATTCCGAAGCTTATTTGTGCGACGATTGTGCTTCTGGTTGGTAAATTCAGTAATCTTCTTTTACAAATATTTGCAACTGGGGACACAAATGTAGAAATGGATACCTAGTTTAGTTGCCAGAAGTTTTACTCGTTTTTTTTGGCGAAATTTTAATAAACTGAAAACATTCGTAAGAATATATATCAAGTACCTTGAAAACAACATACACGCGAGACTCTGGAAATAATTTCCGTAGTAAATGTTCGAAATCATCTTCACCAGACCAACTGTTCTGTAAGGGAAGGTGATAGAATAGTGAATCTGAAAGTTGTAAATGGCGTGAATGTTATCACTGTATTGGATCTCGTGACTGTCTACATGTTTCGTTATCTTGCACGAAATGTCAACGTAAGATTATACTTTATAAAATAACCGTCATCTACTGTACATGAAAATTCGGAAATCTATATTTTATCTTGGAACTGATCTCCTAAAACCGATTAAGAACTAATATTTATTGTCATGTACTACATTTTACATACATGTTTTTAAACATTTATATGCAATTTGACTATGACTCGTCATTATACCATATGTGTAACAGGATATGTTAACTTTACCTGATATCAAATTGTGGGGATTGCATTGGAATAGACTGTGATGTGAGTGAATTTAAATTAACAAAACTGGTTGTGTATAATAGTTTGATTAAACCTCAATTCAAATAATAAAATGTAACACCCAGAGTATTCCACAAAGGAATTTTCACAATAACCACGTAATCCTTTCCCGGGCCACCTACTCACCCGCAGAAGCTGGAGGCTTTCCTCAGCTTCCATGGTTTGTCTATGTTTTAACCAGAATGTGTAAGCAGACACTGGGGCTTGTACTTTGCATTCCAGTGCAACATTAGATCCAACTGTCGCAGTTATATTTCCAGGAAACGTCTTGTTCAACACCACGGGCATTTCAAATACTAAGACAAAACAATAAAAACATGATGGTAACAATGAGCCATGAGTGTGTATGTAAATACAGCAGATGTTCAAGCTTTTGTTCCGACGGCTAGAGCTGGAGTCTTGTCAGACATCAATAACTCCACCCAGGCACGTCGATAGAGATGATTAAGAGATGATATCTGTTGCATGCATCCAGCTCGCTCTCCGGAACAGCCCTACGCTGGATCCCGGAGGAAAAATAAAACGAAGATGGCCAAATTAAACTTTGTAACAGTAGATAGAGTATTCAAAAATAAATGAATGATCATCATCGTCGTAACCCCCCCCCCCCCCAGAGCAAACAGCAGCCGCAGACAGAGCCAGGTGAAGATTTCTTGTCATAGCCTCACGTCTTGCCTCTTGTCATAGGCACAGAAAAGATTGAATTAATAATCAATGAATGAAACTTCTGAATTTATTATGTGAACAACCAATCCCATTGCGCAAATTATATATGTCACCAATTATATCTATCTCTGGTTCAAATACAAAAAAGACTGTCTCTTGGTGTTATTGTCGAGATCTGAAACCTTATTGATTCAGCATTATCATTCAAATATTTGCTAGCTCGAAGTTTATTTTTCATTTTGAAAATCACGTTTGTCATTCGTCAAATTGTAATGTACTGTTTGACGTACTTTCACGCCATTGATGACGTAGAGTTGTTTTATGCAATAATTACGTCAGACATAATATACTAATATATTGACCAATTAGTCGTGTATATACCAACCTGTAGGTGCAGTCGTAGAAGTAATTTCGAAGTGATGTGCTATTGTACAGTACCCGTTATCCACGATACATTGGTATTGTGCACTGTCATTTTCAGAGAATGATTCTACCACTAGTGTTCCGTCTTTAGTTACAGTTGTCTATCAAATCAAATTACATTCATTGGTAAATTATCGGCAAATCACGAGTAAGTATAGACAAATGGCTGCCAAAATCTCATTGAGAGATGACTTGATTGCGCCTCAAATTATGTTCCATTCTCTCACGACATCAGGTAACTGTTTTTCTTTGGCTGGTTCCCGCCACAAGTGTCATGGCGTACCAAGCCACAAGAGGCCGGTAACTAGTAATGGAGCCAGCATTCTGATTGGTCCATCACGTTCTCGTTTCTTGTTCTATTTCCCTTGGTTACCTGACTTCAGCGCTTACCCTTACGGACGTTCCATAGTTACAAGTTACCTGCGTCCTACTTGCCATTCGCATGGGACGCTGGGAACCAGCGAACTGTTCTCCTGACCTATGGGATAAGAAACAGTGGACACAAGGACGAGGGAAAATATACCACTGTTTTTGAGGCAAACACAAGTCTCGTAGCTCTCTCGCTCTCGATGAGATCTCAGCAGCCACTTGAAGGCTGTTGACAAGAAGACGATACAGGTCTTACAAATGCGGTTACATTACACGCCATATGTTACTTACTTTGTTGACAATATCGACCTCTCCAGTGTCATAGGTCATCTTCCTCCATGTGTAACTGACATCACCATCGCCATATGCATTGCAATCAAGTGTTACACGTGACTTCAACTCAACAACTATGTACGTTATATCGCTCGGAACAAGAAGACTATCGTTGAAGTTTAGGTAGTGGCCGTCATCGGCGCAAAAATCATTCCCTGCAGTTGGTGAGAATCACGTAGGTTAAACCGCCGCTCGCATATATTTTAATGATTGTATAGTTGAAACAGGCGATAATGATTTTCATATTGATGACACCCTCCCAACAGGCTGCTATGCTTGACATTTTAAAGCGGGAGGGTCGTCACCTGCGCACGCGCGAGAATTGAGTCCCAAGCGACGATGACAACACACGCAAAAGCTCATGGGTAGACGCATGTTTGTAAACAATGACACGCTATGGCCACCTGGCGTAGGTGACGACTCCCCCGCTTTAAGTGAGAATAAAAAACAGTATTGTTTTACCAAACAAAATGTTCTGTTACCTGTAGGTCAATATGAGTATGTATTTACTGTTTGTAGTGTAGTTATACAAGTAACACAATGTCCATGACAGTTCTTTCGCAATTATTTATATTGTGTGGTCTTTTCATTCTTTTTTCTCTTTCAATTTAATTGAGTGTTAAAATGGCCGAACATTTCCAAACTTCTACGGTAATATTGTATACTATTTAGTGGAGTAAAGGTACGTACGTACGTACGCCCTCTGTGGCCATAATTGGAATTCTACAGCTACTCATATCTGACACGAGTCGGCGGCATAAGCTGTTTCTCTAGTTAAATGCAGTGGTTTCCAATATTTGTCTAATATAATATATATATATATATATTATGCTATTATTTAAAATAATAATTATTGTTTGTTTTAATTGTAACTTCGGTCTCAAATTAATACAACGGTCATTAATAACAATTAGCGCAATTCCCTTTAATTTGGCGGGAAAAAATCTGCTTTTATGTGTCTCAATAATATTTTTTTCGAAATCAGAACAAATATCAATTTGGTTTGCTTTGTTTCAGATCCATTTTAGACCGCACTTTCATTAAAAATACATCAGGGTATGTTTATTTGTATGTCCTTTACCGTAGTCACATTTCATGGCAAAGGTACAGACGATGGTAAACGATTAAGGATTTCCACCATGCCGTAATGAGACTGGTGTACTGTATATTAATACAATCACCAATATGGGTATCAGATGAATAGTCTCCCTTATGTTGTCGGGTAAAAACACACCTTAGGTTGACCTGTGCTGTCAAGTAACACATGGTAACGCGAGGGCAATTTAACATATTAGTTTGAATTAGTTACACAAGTCAGAGTGTATTACAGCATGGAACTACAATTGTAGTTCTATGATTACAGTGACTGTTATATCCGGGAGGAAATGCATAGAACTTGCCTAACGGGGACGTGCCCCTGAAATTGGTCTCGTTTTTTGGATTTTAGGTATAAGTATCGGTCTTATTTCTGGTCAAGATAGGTATAAATATCGGTAACATTTTTCCGATTTGGTATACTTATGGGTCCGTATATTAGTGAATATCACCACCTCGGATCCATATATAGATCAACCCGGAAATTAAACAAGGCAATCAACATTTAAACGGAGATTTGACATGGAATAGAAGAGCAAATACGGTAACTGTTTTATTTGCAATAAACAGTGATGACAGAAATAGTACTTTGGTATTAATATGGGTATAGATTTTGCCACTATTCAGGTATAAAAATGGTCACACTTTTGAGCACTCAGCGGCACCTCCCTACCCAGCTATGTATCAACTTCACCCCCACCCACCGGGTGCTATACATGTACGGTCATCAAATCGGAGATTTACAGCACATACCTGTTTCATCGTCGCCTATCGTATTCACTACGTTCGTGGCAAATGCGACAAACATTACGATCGCACAACCACGGAGAGACTTGAACCCACTCATGTTTAGAAGTTAACAGTCTCCTTCTACTGACCCTCCCGTGATCTTAGAGTGCATGAGGTGAAGCCAGCATGTGGAAGTTGGTTTCTTCACCGGATGTAACTATCGCTGTGATCAGATAGGGAGCACTACGTGTCAAGGTCCGCTCAAACGCGTTGCCGCGATACGATAATATGTATCCGTTCTTAATACACTAACACACGATAACTCTCTTGTAGTTTGTCCTTGCGGGTAGGCAAATGAACCATATCATCCATGCATTGTGTGACTAGTTTCAGCTAGGACAGAGCTAATTATGGCCATCATTATAATAAGGTATATGGTTTGTC